GGGGCGCTGAAAACAAGATCGAGATTTTTAGTTCTTGCTTTAAGAATATTTCTGTCCATTTTCTAGGAGGCCTGTGGCCACAAGTGATCTTGGTTTTCATTTCATCTAGATTGCAATTTTCAAATCTATCTGAAGTCTAGGACGTCCCTAAAAAAGAGTAATAGCATAGTAGGCCTCTTAATGCACAGTAGTATGACTGTCTGCTTAAATCTGGGTAGAGCAGTATGAGAAATAAGTACTTGATAATAGTGTGTTATTCAGGCTTAGTTGTGTCATTAGAGAGTCCTCTTGTGCTTCTCTCTGCCTCAATACAAGTGTCTTGTTTTGCTTCCTGGTGGGGTGGACCAGAGCTATGACAAAGGGTGCTCATGCAGTCCTCTTTCATACTGCCTTCACAGGCAGGCAAAAACTTGCACTGTAGCTCCCAGGCCAAATGCTGTCTTGAACTCATGACTCTGATCTACATAAAAATAAAATCTTATTCCATCTGTGGAATTTATCATAATTATATATAAAAGGACAGTTTCTATATAAAGTGTTCTTGATTACTTAATTGTAAAAATGGTCAGATGATGGTATAAAAAGTTACTGCTTTTTGAAAAATAAGTTTTGAAACTTATTTGGTAGTTATCTGTGCTGCCTTATGTGGAATTGTCTTTACACCATTACATTAATGTGGTAGGATTTTAAATGGGCTAATGCTAGTCTTTGTGAAGTAAGGGTGCTGTTAACCCTTTCATGAATTTAGGGGTTGTCTGTAATACCTCTTTAACTCCTCCAATCTTTCTCTCAGTTGTATTTAATGCACTGAACAATGTGGTGTATCCCTAGCAAATTTCATTTTTTTCTTCTGTGCATGAAGGTACCAACATTTGGAAACGTTTTAACACAGGGTATATATCAGAAGTAGAGAAGATATGGAGAGGTCATCCCTTTTACCTTTTTGTTGCCAAAAGCAGCAAGATAATCTTACATTTTATTTCTCCTGTTCAAGGCAAGGTCTGTCTGTTACTCCATAGCAGACCAATACTCTACAAACACCTGTGTGAGATAGTTCAGCTCACTAATGTGAAAATAAACTGGGGAAAGGGGGAGTGTGTAAATTCAGAATTAGAAGCAGGGAAACAGCCCCTTTCAGAATTATCTGCTAGCTTAATTCGATGGCCTGTGGAACCATAGCCTTCAAGGGATGTCTTCAGTGTTTCCTGCGTCTTGTTACTGCTGTCTTGCAATATTTAAGTATCTGTTACAAATTTTTGACCAAGAATTATTTACCTCCCCCCTAATAGGATAATTCTTTAAGTAAAGTAGCTGCTGAGGGAAGGTTGAAATGAGTGTTTAGGGTTTTTTCAGCTGTTTTTAAAAGGCATGGGTTACTATTTTAGCTGAGAGACCCAGCAGTCTGTCTACTGTAGCAAGCTTTGTGTTTTTGCTGGAATACTTTCTTGCCCTTAATGAGGTGATGGGAGGATGTGTAGTCTTTGCTTTAAAAAAAAAAAAAAGTTTTGTAGCTTAATTTGGTACAGTGTAGCAAGAATTCATCGTTTGGTATACTGGGCAGTGATAACTCAGTAGCTGTATCTTGTCTTTGGAAATATTTTCTTTGTTGAGCGTAGAAATCTAGATTGCAGTTCCTTCTGTAGGTTCATATCATGTTAAGGAACCAAATTTGAGGAAAATTTTGCAGATGCCTCTTACGTGATACAGGATAGTTGAGGTATAGCTCCTGACACTATTATGCATCCTGCTGCTTTTTCTTTCCCCACCTATGTACACCAGCACCAGACCTCTTCAAAAGAATTTCAGTTTCACTACCTAGGGATTGCAGGCTTGTCCGTTTAATATATGTAGGTGCAAAAGTGCTTATAGATAACCTGGCTACTGGCCTTTCACACACAGGATTTGAAAGTGCCTTTAAATAGTGGTCTGCCAGCATCTGTTTCAAAGTTCAAAGTTGTTATAGGTTCCTTGGTGTAGTGTTTTTTTTTTTTTTCTGCAGCTTACTACGTTAGGCAGAGGTTAAAAAAAAAATGCATTGAGCAAGTATGTAAGTGTTCTTGGCTGATTTGGGTTAATTTCAGTGCAAAATAGTATCTAATATTCTATACATGATACAAACTTTGTGAAAGGATTGCTTTCCTTTATAATTTTGAACTGTATGTGTCACACGTGCCCTGTGGTAATGAAGAATACTGATCACAGCACCTGTCTGAGAACTGCACTGCCATAAGCACAAGTTAGTCCTCAAAAATATCAACTTACTGCTTCATTTTACCTCTACTTTGGAGACTTTGGTGCATGTTCTGTAACACACAACTTCATCTAGAACAAACCTACATCAACAATGTTAATGTTCTTTAAATTTAGTCTATTTTGTCTTCCATGTTAAATGTTGGCCTTAATTTGAATATAGTAACTTCTTGTTTTTACAATGGTTAGTCTGTTTCTCTGGTGATGGTAAGTTTTCAGTTGTAACTTCTTAATTCTTTTTTAGAATATGCTGCTTCACAAATAGTCCTTCTTGGTGTAAAATGATCTGGTTTACAGTTAATTTGCCTCTTGCTCCATAGACTGTAACAGAGCATTGCAATTACTGACATGGAAATTGCTTTACCTTAGTGTCACAATACCACAGTGCTTTCAGGATGGCAGGCTGCCACTTTTGTGCAGCGTTATGAATAGAACATGAACTGGAGTCTTATTTTTAAGATAGCATGTTAGAGACAGTCTTACCGCACTGAGCTATACTCTGTCAAAAGTCTCTGTATGGTGTTTCATAGCTGAGTAGATCCTGATAATGCTGCAGGCCTCATTTGCATGTTTTCCAAGGCTTTCCTCTCTTATGCCATGTGTAGGCTTTTCCTTATGTAATTCAATCACCTGCATAATCCTATGTGTCAGCTTGGTTTGTAATAGGATGCCTTGCAAGATTCTGCAGTTTTATCACTCGGTGCTTATTCTTTATCACAGTCCTGCCTCAAGTCTGTCTTCATCCTTTCTCTCCTTACCTTTTACCATTTATTCTCCCACTTCCTTCTCTTATTTCTTGTTCATCAAGGTGTTCGGCTCTGTACAAAGCTATGTGCATTGCTATGTCAGTTTTCAATGGAGTACTTCCCCCCCACCCCTGCATTGTCTATCTTTTGTTTCTCCTGGTCAAAGTTGCATTCTTGAGACTCTCCCTTCTTATTGGCACCTTGCTTGCTGTTATGTTTGTGAACATTAGTAAGGAAATCTTCCTCTGTGGTAGCTATCTGAGCTATTGCTTTTCTTACTTTGGTATGACTGTCCCTTGGCTGTG